GCACACAGGCATACAAATGCTGAGAGACAAAGGCTGTGATTAAGGGCCAGTACTCCAACTCCCTGCTTATTACAGGAAAGGATTTATCTGATGGCCTAGTTTCAGCTCCAATTTTCTACCTTTTAATCAGGTTCCCAGGTCTCCTTGTCCACTCAAAGAAGAAAGGAAGAAGAAATCTCAGGGTGATGAAGCAGGAGTAATACTCTATAAACATACATGGGTCAGAAGGTTTTGCTGCCCCAAAACTTTCCTAGGAGGCAGATCCCAGGACAGGCAGAAGAATTATGCCCAGCCATGCAGCATTTGTTTCTGGCATGGCAAGGGTGCATCAGTGCTTTCCCGCCTGACCAAGCCGGGGTTGTGTGAAACAAACGTGCTGGAAATAAAAACCTTCTGCAAAATGGAAAATGTACAGAGGAGCAGCTATTTTTAAAAGGGACAGCACCTACTGCTGTTATGAAGTCAGCCACATAATCAGTCAGCAAGGGACTTCTGTGGGCTGACAGCTGACTGCCAGGAGAAATGGTTCCAGCAGACTGATGAGAAGAAAATGAGAGTTTTTGGGTACTGAGAGGTGCATGTTCTCTAATAAAGAGAAGATTGTCAATCCTGTGCTGCCCTGGCCACAAGGCAGATGGGGGGAAGTGACCCTCACTGTCTTTCCCCACGTGCTGGAAAGGAGGGATGAGATGCTGATAACTCTCCAGCAGACAGAACACCACAAGCAAATGCAAGCTCACTCACTACTTCTTCCTCCCTTTGCCAGCCTAGCCTTATTGCCGAGCCTCTGCTGAGGTTTTCCTGCTTCTAAAAATGTTGAGCCTGTAATTAAAACGCCCATCTTGCTTGCCAGGGCAAACATATCCGGCCACAGAACTGAGCTGGTTGTGGAGACAGCCAAAGCTTGCAGCTAACCAACCTGGCTGGCCTTCCTGACAGGCTGACAGGGATGGCTTTCCTGGCATGGGTGGCTCTCCTGGCATGGGTGGCTGTTGATGCCTGACACCAGGTCCATCACACACACAAGCTGACAGGAAGTTTGAATGAGGGCATCCTCAACTCATCCAAGCCCTGATGTGCCCTTCTTCCCCTGTGGGGACATCAGTGCTGTTTCACGTGTTTCACACCTCCCCCCCCCCCCCCCCCCCCCCCGCTGGTGCAGAGGGGACATACATGCATAATGTGGGGGCTCATGTTTCTGGTAGAGGCTTGCCTGTTTCTTCCCATTCAGAGGATTTTGGAAAGGCTATTTAAATGAATAATAATCAAAACAATTAACAATGATCAAAATAATAAATTAAGTCATTAATTAAATAATGAATGAAAAGGGGTTGCCAAATAAGACGTTACGGCAAGGGGGCAAAGGAGTACTGGGAGGGATAACACAGTGCTGGAGCATCACGTATGTGGGGCATTCACAAGGAGGTGGGAGAATACAGCTTCAGACCCTTGGGTCCCAGGATATTGTCCTTCCTCAAGAGAGGAAGACATTCTCCACCTCTTTGACTGAGCCCACACCCCTGGGCAGACCAAAGGGGTGTGGTGGTGTAGCCTCATGGTCATAACCTTGAGGTGGACACCAGAGGAACAGTCATCTCTAATGGTTGGTGGTGGTGGCTTTTCCCCTGCAGTCCATAATAGTCCTATGAGCAAGATTTGCCCTTCCCTGGTGATCTCAAGCCCCAGGCTATCATCTGACTACCTTGTGTGCCAGCTGGGAGGATGGGGCATTTTGAGGAAACAGGTAAAGAATTAACAGCCTCTTCCGGGCTGCCTGCAAGTCTGCCTGCCTGAGGGGAAGATGCAGCTGTTCCTTCAGGCTTGGGAGGAACAAGAACAGGCAGTTTCCTCAGTGAGGCTCTGATTGCACCACTTTTATACACAGCACCAAGAAGCCTTTAAAATTAAATTAGCTACTTAAGAGCAGGAACACCCCTCTGGAGAGGCTTCTGTTTATTTTTTAGGTGCAAAGGCTCTGCATGGTCTTAGCCCCCTGTGCAGCAGCCCCAGCTCTGCAGAGGAGGGTGCTGAGACTGGATTACGTGTGTCTCACTGCCAGAAGCTGTGTGGTTGGGCAATGTTCAGCTTTCTGTGCTGTGGCATCACTTCTGCACCCCTTTACATCCTTCCACCCCGACAGACTCACAGAATCTTTAGGGATGGAAAAGACCTGCAAGATCATCAAGTTCAACCCTTAACCCAGCACTGCCAAGTCCACCCTTAAACAGTCTCCCTAAGCACCACATCTACATGTTCTTGAACATTTTTGTGGTCTTGTGTGTCTCCCCACATCACCCTGCCTGCTGCAAATCCAGCCTTTTAACACTGGCAGACCATGTCCCGGATGGGTCAAATCCACAAAGAAATCTCCACCTGCTTCACGAGCTTTGGAGCAGGTCCTGGAGCTGGGAATTTGCACCACATGCTCTCTGCTGCTTCACGGCCACGTGTTCCTAATTTCCTTCAAGTCAACCAGAGAAGCTCTCAAGTCTTTCCATCACTGAAGAACACAGTGAGCCAAGCACCGTGGGACAAATCCTGCCCCCAGTTTGGAAATCCAGCACCCATGGGGGAAGTGGGGATCAGCAGAGAAGGAGAGAAGCCGTGTTGCACTTCAGACCCAGTGACAGCTGCCACCCACTCAGCATTAAAGCAATAAATCTGGGGGATCTGGGTTTATTCTCCTCCAAATCACTTTATTATATTGTGAGTAATCACAAAGCCTTACAATGCTGCAGGTTCTTTAAGAAAACAGACTAACACAGCGACAGTATTTGCCAGCTTTTGCTAAGACTAGTTTAGCTAGCAGCTAGCATGAGATTACACGAGGAAATCTTGCAGTCTCCAATTGGATTGTCACATTGGGTTTTAAATTACCACAGTGCTGCTAAGACAGTAACTTTGACAGTAGGTGATAATCGTAATGTTTCATCTATGTACAGGCTTAAAAAAGTAAACAGCTTTCTTTAAAAAAAATACATTTTCTGCCAGCAGAAAATAATTCTCTTAAAAAGGCAAAATCCAGTAAAACCCTGACATGTTTCCTCACAAACTGCCCCTGTCCTGCACTGCAGTTTGTTTCTGTTCCCCTCCAGATCTCTGCCCATAGGCAGCCCCATTGCCTTTTTAAGAAAATCGGCATTTCCTGTGATTGTGAAGGCAGGTCAAACATTGCAAAGGCTCAGTAGAGGGGAAAAATCCCCAAAACTGAAAGAAGGGGTGAAAATCCCACTCTAAGCTACCCAAACAAATTATTGAAATTGAGATAGATGGAAATGTCGGAGTATTTCAGTACCAAATTTCCGTATCCAAAGTTAGGTGTTGACTCTGACTTTTATGGAGTCAGTGGGTTTGGACAACAGGGCTTCCACTTTCCAAGACTTTTGGGGGTATGAGGACAAAACCTGAGCTTCTTCCAACACTCCCAAGGACAATTGTGAGATGAATTTATATCTGCATCACTTTACATGGATCTCCCTAAATCAAACATTGAAAGTGGCCCTGATGCAGGGCTTAGAGACCAAACTGCAGATCAGCTTAAGCATGACTCCCATCCAAACATCCCATCCCCCTGGACAGAGCATGCCAGATGTGGACCAGACCTCAGCAGTCACCACCACTGCTCCTATAAGCAAATTGGAGGCTTCACACATGGCATTGAGTGATGTTGTGCTGCCTTCTCCCACTTCCTCCTAGACTGGAGAAAAAGAGGGTCCAGAGGGGTTCCACAGAATTTCAGCAATGGAGAGAAAAAAAAATCAGCGAAACATTGAGGACCAGGCTTTTTATCAGATTTCAGTTTATCAGATTCACTTGGCAACGAAGGAGCTGTGTGAGAGAAAGAAAAGCCACAACTCTGGAAAAAACTCCAAAAGATCTTTCCTTCGATAAGCAAAGTGCTTCAGGGCCACAAGCATCAGTGTTAATTCTTCCCCTGGCACGTTCTCAGAAGTGTTTTGGCACTGCAAGTTGCCTCACATATGCCCAGATGAGCTGCAGATGTTGTGCTCAGATGGGGAATGTCAGCCTGGAAACAACTTACTCTCATATCCTCTAGGACTGCATCTTGGTTTGATAAGGTCATCAAGAAAGAATCCCTGTCAAAGTTTCCTTCCAAGCTTCCCCAGAAAGGGAGGAGGGATTCTTTTCAATTTTTTTTCTTTCCTGAGCTAGGCTACATGACCTCTTCCCTTTGCAGCCTCCTCCATCAAAGGCTGGCTCCTGGGTGAGATGTAGCTGTTAGCAGACCCCTCTGCTTCCCTTCCTCTGCTGCACATCACCTCTGACCAATGGCTCACTGAGGTTAAAAAGACAGGAGGTTGCCAAAGCTGGACCTAAGTTAATTAGACATGAAAAAGATCAAGGTGGGAAAACAAAGAGAAATTGGTGGGAAAATGTCTCAGCTTACTCAATGTTTGTTGCACACCTATGCAAATAACATGTAAAACCCAGCACATTAAGTGCACCCTGTGTTCAGGTTTGTCTGGAAATGTTTCTTCAAGACTGAAAGTGCATGACAGAAAACAGGGTGCTGCTAATGAAGGCAACATCCAGAAGGCACATTTTGGGGGGTAACAATTAAAAGAAGGATGATGCATGGGTTTGTAAGCAAGCAGCCACAGAGCTGGTACGTTTTGGCGTGCGCTCTGCAGAGGTGTATCTTTGCTCCTACAAATGTGTCTGAGGCATGAAGGGTTTGCTCCAGACTGAGTGTTCTGCCCTGGGACCTGCAGAGCAGCTTGTCCCCGCATGGTCCAGCGTCACTGCTCCTGAGCCAGCGGCATGAGTGAGCACCTCAGTGCGCCGGCTAAAATCCGGAGCCTGGGGAGAACACAGACCCGAGAGTTTATAAAATCCACAAACAATCAGCTATTGGCAAATAGAAATATATAAATTATTGACAGTTTTACAAAAGGCACACTGCAAGCCATCTCAGTCCGACACCTGTACAAGTCCCACGGCCCCCCACCCTCCCTGCCCCACCCCTTCTTCTGCCCAGTTTTCATCACAAAACATAAGGTGCTGCTGCTACGGATCCATGGCTGTCATGGCAACTGAGGACTTCTTTTTTGGTCAGCCCAATCTGTCGGTGGTACTGTCCTTCTTTGATGGTCTTGAGACACTGTATGTCCTTCCCTAAGGTGATGCTTTTGATGGAAGGCAGGTATTTCAGCGAGGTCTTTGGTAAGGATGAGACGCCTGTCCCAGAGAGGTTGAGCTCTTGTAGGGAGTTCAGACCAAAGATAACTTCAGCAGACAGTGACTTCAAGTTGGGATTGTTGGATAAATCCAGAACCTGGAGGGCTTGGAGTTCCTTGAAGCTCTGAGGAGATAACTCCCTAAAGCCACGCAGGCCACTGAGGGATAAATGAATCAAGTCTTTCAGTCCCGTGAAATCTCCTTTCTCAATCTTAACCAGAGGGTTTCCATCAAGATTTAAATATCGGAGAGGAATGCCTTGAAGGTTTGGTACAAATGTTAGCCTGTTTCCAGAAAGATTTAAGTTCTGGATGTTGGGAATGCTCTTTTCAGGGTGTCTTGTAATTGTGCTGAGCATATTATTGGATAGATCCACATTCAGGGTTTTGCCTTGTCCTTTTGAAGCAAAAATGTCCATAGCTATATCCAAAAGTTTGTTATTGCTCAAATCTATGTCACTTAGAGGAGAACTGGAGAAACAGTCCTCCGGAAGGACTTCCAGAGAGTTATGACTCAGATCCAAGGACTCCAGGTACCGAAGCCTGGAGAATGTCGTGGAGGAAATCTTGGCAATTTTGTTGTAGCTCAGGTCAAGACTCACCAGGGTGGTGTATCCAGGGCCAGTAAGCATCGATTCATTTATTGTTTCCAGTTTGTTTGATGATAGATCCAAGTAGGAGGTGTCCAGAGGGATTGGGACAGGAACAATGTGGGAGCCTATTCCACTGCAGTCCACCTTGGTCAAGCTGAAGCTGTCAAAGAGACCAAAGGTTTCCACTTCACAGTGGCAGCCAGGGAAGCAGGTTTTTGTGGTACCAAAGCAAGGAAGGAGAAGCAGCAAATTGAACCAGGCCAGGAAATGCATTGTTCTCCTGTAAAACAAGACAATAGAAGAGCAGATCTAATTGCTGTAGAAATTACTTTATGAATGATGTGTACCTGTTTGACTTATGCAGTCTTGTCCTTTCTCTTTACAAAAGGAGAGATTAAGCATACCCTTCAATAGCATGGATATCTCAAAGACTTTTTCTCTCATGTTATGAATCCCAGTGGGAAATTAATGGAGAAAAAAAATTGGGTCAGCAGTCTTTACACACATAACCAAACTGAGGCGAAATTGGAAATGAGCTGTAAGAACAGTAGGCTGCCTTAAAGCATGATCTATCAAACATATATACTTTTGACTGGACCATGGAAGAAAAGAACAGCTCCTTACTGCACAAATGGACATCCCATCTCCCTTCCTTGGACTTCAGGAGCAAATTTTAGAAGTTTGGATTTGTATCAGGTGGCTAAAAACAATCCTCCTTGGTCTGGTGGCAGCTCCTACCAGAGCAGAGGAAGCGAGGCTTGTTCAGTCTAATCCAGCCTTTGCTGTGGTGGGCCCAGCCCCCTGCACAGTGGAGAGAGACAATTTGCTTCATAGGAGTCTTTGGGGAGCCTCTGCTAATTGCATTAAGTGTTCTCTCTGATTAACAGTGCCAGTAAGCAAGGAGTTCTCTCCGCTGCTTTGGCTTTGACCCGTCTCCCTCCAAGACAGTTCTGTCTCTCTATCATCTCACACAAGAGATGCAGATCAGAGCTGATCTGCACACTCCAGCTCTGCTGAACCTCTTCAGATGGCATCCTAACAACAGTGGGCAACAACAGCTGCGTGATTCCAAGAGACAGCCAAAACAATCTTTAGATCTCTGAAGAGGGTACATAGGAGCATGTCAGCATCCTGCAGGTCAGCACAGAGGCAACAAGGTCTGTCCTCGCTGGTTCCTATTGCAGTCATGGGTGATGACTCCTCATGCCTTACAAACGAGGTCTCCAGAAGGCCAGAAACAAAAAATCTCACCAAGCCAGACAAGCAGATCCATCAGCACTGGTCCTTGGCTATTCTGCTGGCCATAAACAAACACTCACGTGCCAACTGCTCATTCAATAAGAAAAAAGTTAAAGAAATCCCTTTAAATGAATGTTCCCATCCCCACTTCAGTCTCCCTGGTCTCTTACCTTTCCCACCACTGTTTAAAAGCACTTCATTAACTTCCTTGCAGTATCAAGTTTCACACACACCCTTTGATCTGGCTGAGATTCCTTCCTCACAGCCCTTGCACCTTCCCAAGACCATTTCCTAGAAATTCCCACTTCATCTCCCCTCACCCACCCCTTGTATTCAGTTTCTCTCCCTTTTCAGCATGGTCTTCTTGGCCCTGCTCTCATTCCCAGGAGACTGACTGGGGACTACTTGCCAAAGTGCAAAAAAAGCGCAAGGGGGGAAAAATGTTGAAAAAATACTGTCCTGATCACTGATGTGAGTTGTATGGCAGTGTCTCCCAGACCTCCTGCAAATAGAGAGCAGAAACTGGGACTCTGGCCAAACTGCCTGCAGCTAAACCATTGCTAAAGGCCCCTTTGGGGTCCATTATTCTATAGAAACAACAGAAAATTGGTAAGATGAGCCCTAGCCTCAGCCCATCTCAACTGTTTCTTGAGAAAACACATATGCGTGCAGAGAGAACATAGGGGGTAGGGCTCTTCTCTGCAGACACTTTTCCAGATATCCCTTTCCCAATGACATCAAGGCTGATCCCCTCTGGTTCTGTGCAGACAGACATAGCTTGCTGCCTTCTGCAGTCCCTCCTAAAATAAATACTACTATTTTTATTTTTCCATGAAGCTGCATTTGGATTGCACTGAAATGTTTTATTACCAGGGAGGGTTGCAGCAGTGGGGAGTTCCTTGTAAACTAAAACTGCAAAACCTCAAATGTTAACTATCTCACCCACAGGGAAGTACCTACATTGGTATCAGCCCAGTCTACCGGCATTTCTTCTCCCAAATTCTACCCAGTGGCAATTCCTACTTGATGTCTCTGTATGGAAACTTCCAACTTCTCCTTCAAAAGTGCAGCTCATTTCCTCATAGAATTGTTTTAGCTCTGATGGGAGCTGAATCGCACACCAGGAAGTCCAAAGACACACCAGTGTGAAATTTTACTTTCTGAGCACTGCTAAAACCTCCTTTGGCTTCTTATGGAGCATCTGAACAAAAGTAAGAGGACAAAATCCAAAGCCCTAATTTAACTGGGAATAGACTTTTAATAGGGCCTGTAGTGGTAGGACAAGGGGCAATGGTTTTAAAATAAGACAAGAATAATTCAGACTAGACTTAAGAAAGTAGTTTTCTGTGATGAAGGTGGTAAAACATTGGCACAGGTTGCCCAGAGAGGTCGTAGATGCCCCATCCCTGAAAACATTCAAGTCCAGGTTGGATGGGGCTCTGAGCAATTCGGACTAGTTGAAGATGTTCCTGATTATTGTGGGGAGTTGGACTGGGTGGCCTTTAAAGGGTCTGTTCCAATCCAAGCTATTCTATGAATTGAGAGAAGATTGAAAACCGATGCTGGGCTTTGATATGCACCTGCTCAAACCCTTTTGACATGGGAATTCCCCTCCTGATCAGCCTCAAAAATGATTACCAGAAGTGGGCAGATACAGGGACTCTCACTGCAACACCCCTCACTTCAGCCAGCAGTAAAGACAAAACAAGACACAGCTGAAATGCAGTACACAAAGCGCAGCTGAAGCATTTGCATAGCATCTATTGCCTCTTCCCTCCTCACAGTAATGCCACAAATTCTCCCTTACTGGCTCTGCAATTGCTTTGCAGATGGGATACAATCCATTAGTACCAGTTGGAAACTCCCTTATGGAGCAGCATGGAGCATCACAAGCAAACATGCCACTTGGTTAATAGCTCTGATAAAATATAGGAGAAATAAAGTTACTGGTCATCTTCCAGTCCAAGAAAGAGACTCCTGCATTGCCAGATAATTGGCAAAGAGCTTAGTCAGGTACAGGCATGTTTTATTATAGTGTGGAACAACCAATAGCTCTCTTTGAAATGGGGAAAGAAACAGACCGCAGGCATTTACAGTCCTGTGTACAGTGTGTATTTGAAACTGCACCAAAATGCCTCTGGATTGCTGCCCACGAGCTGCTTCGTTGATAAAGGCAGGAAGCCAAGGCATCCCCTTGTAAAAGGAAGAGGAGTTATCCTCTTGCAACACTGGGGAGTTTCACCTGGGTAAACACCATGGACAAGAAACCACTGGCACCATCACCTAGGACAGTGAGGGGAAAATCACTGGGAGAAAGCAGCCTACCCTGGGGCTGGTTTAGCCATATCCTCTTCATTTCTATGGCTATTGAGGTATGGAGAGATCCCAGTGATAGGTTCTGGCCATCTGGAAGCTCTAGGGGTCTTTTTATACCTGCTGACTGCAACAGGAGCTGCAATATCTTCCCCCATGTTCCAGGTGCCTGTAGTGACTGCAGGGCGCTGGTCTTTATATCTTGCTCATCCTTTCTGCAGGGCAAATATTCTGAGACAACCATAAGGAGAGCCTGAGGTGGTTAATGGAGCCAGTGTTGGACAAAGCTTCCAGCAGGATGCCAGCCTTCTCCTCAGACCCCACATCTCCCCTTCAGCCTGCAGATGCCCTTGTGCCTTCTCCCTGCTATGCTCAATCATTGCAATGCTGTGTGGCAAGACTCACACAGAAAACTCACACTGAGATTTCCCAACCAAAAAGCCCCCAACATTAAAAGCAGATTGCAGAGAGATGCCAGGCTCAGATGATGGTCAGGGAGTGAGGTGGGAGAGAAGAAAGCTTTGTTACTGTTGTTGCAAATTCATACTTCTCACCGCATTTGATTTTTTCCTTCTCTTCTCCCTTAAAGACTTTTCTCATTAGGGAGATCAGCTGGCACATCCCTCCCTGGATGAAAGCCCATTGCTTGGGGACTGGTCCCCCTCTTCGGGAATGCGGATATTAAGAGGATGCTACCTAGGCTACCTCCAGTTGCCCTGGCAACCACCAAGCTGGAATTCCCCATTGCAAAAAATCAATGACTAATTAAAGAAATAATACAAGGGGAGGTGTTTTAGAGTTTGCTGTTTGATGGAGTCAGGAAACAGCCGCCCCATTCTTCATTCCCTCAGCCTCCCTCAACATGCCTCTGAACAAAGCATCATCTGAAATGCAGCTGGGGTTGGGGCTAAAGGCCCAAATTCACCCAATGAAGCTTGAAGTATATGGGTAAGAAGGGCAAAAAAACCCCCAAAACACCAGGTTGTCTCTACGGAGGGGTGAAGACAATGAAATTGCTCCAGAAGGGGATGAAACCAACCTAAGACCATCCACATCCCTGGAGATGTCCCTCTCCCCCTTGTCCATGACAGAGAAGAAGGATGCCCAGCCTCGCTGGTTACTGCTTCCCACCCCATTCTTGGCTGCATCTTCCAAACCCTGGTCCTTCCCAATAACCAGGTGCACTTGGATAAACCAGTTTGGGTCACTGATCCAACAAAAACCCCTCTGATCTTTCTCTTTCCCCTTTGCCAGGTCAGTTTTCCAACAAATTCTGGTGACCATTCATGGGGTTACCAGCTCTCACACAGGAGTGGAGAGCACAGAATCTGTCTTTTCCATAGCAGATCACAACCAGACCAAATCAGATATGAATCTGTAAGGCATGGTGGACAGATCCTGGTAATTTCTACATTTCTTGCCAATATTGATTCTGGATGATCAGCAAATAGACCAAATTTCAAAGAAAAAAGGCAAAAAGGAAGAGCTGAAGTCCACCTGCCCCAAACAGAGTTGTTGCCCCTGCAAAGGACAAAAGAGTTGTATTAGCAACAATATTTCTGGAGAAAAATTTTGGGATTGTCTTCTGCCTCTTGTATCAGCCAAGTAAAGAAATGAACAAAGTCTTCACAGCAGAGCTCACCAGGCCCATTTGGCTGCCAGCACTAATTGGGGTCAGGGGAAAAGGAACGTTATTGGAAAGTGAAACAAGTGCATAGGTTATGATAG